ATATGAGAACAAGTGGTTGTAAAAGTCAGATGTCAAAGTTTCTGCTAAGTCGTCAAAATATTCTGTATCTTGCATATGAGCTTCTGACGTTCTGACAACTACATATCTTCTGTCAGAACTTTCTAACTTCATCGGAACGGCATTGTTTGAAACCATGACGAAGTTTGCAACATTTTCACAAACTCTTTGGTCTTTATATTTTCTTTCAACAACTCCAACTTTGTCTGTTATAAGACTCTTCAAAGCATCTGAGTTCAAAACTTTTGTTGTATCTATACTTTGAAGTTCGTTACATACTATAAGTTTCATATTCTCTATTGAAGAGTTAAATTTACCGCAGATGTTTTCTAAGTTTGTCATATTCGGGTTCGAATAGCCCTCTAACAGTTTGCATAAGATATCTGTAAAGAAAGTGTTCTTACCTGTTCCTTGTTTTCCAATTATGATGAGAGCAGTTTCATTTTTAGCACTTGGATGTTGTAAGATGTTTGCAAACCAACATAAGATATACTCATAGACTCTTTCGTTTCCATTGCATATAATTTCTTTGACATGGTCTAACCAAGCTTCTATAACATTTTCTTTCCATTCTACTTGTTCGTATTTATATCCAGTGAAGATAGAATAGAAGTTTGGAGAAGGTGTATAGAACTTTATACCACGAACTGAAAAATCTTCAAGTTTTGACAATAAGATATCCCAAGCATCTAACATCTTCATACCAACTTGTACGACTTTTATTTTCTTAAGTTTCTGTTTACATTCTTGTTCTGAAACTATTTGTCTTTAGGTTTGTTAAAGACAACATCCCATTCTTTCATGACATAACATTCTGGGGCAGAGTCGACATAAATGACTAAACGTTTCAAATTCTCGACTGCTTTGTTATAGTCTCGAAATGGACACATATTTCTGAACGCTTGGAAGTCATAAAAATCTGAAACGTCTATTCTGTACATTTTTTTATAAAAATAAAAAAAAATATTTTTTTTATTCTTGACTTTGTTGTTGCATTTGTTCCATTTGTTGCATTTGTTGTTCTTGAGCTATTTGTTGTTGAAGTTGTTCTTGTAGTACAATACTTTCACCAGTTGCATCTTCCAATTCGAAACTTTCTGCCGTCATTGACAAATACATAGGACATAAAAGTTTTACAGGAACAAAGTTTGCGTCAACTAAGGTTAAGTTTATGTTTGCAAAGTGTTTGAGTTTACTAAAGCTGAAAACTCTGCATTCGAATGAACAATAGGCAAACCAGCAGAGAAAGTGTTGTTTATACGCATGAGTATCTTTTGGTCATAGTAGTTTCTGTCGACATTCGAATAGCACTTTGAACCTAAGTTTGAAACAATATATAAAATAGGTGTACTTAAAGTCAATGGAATAGATAGACCTTGTATGACACCTTTTCCTGTTATAGGAAACTGTTGGTAGTAAAAACCAGATATAAGTTTTGTATTATAGCTCATATCGTTTATACTAAACTCAGTCGGACATCCAAACATAATGAAACCTGCTCTAGTTGCAGCACATGTTACATCCGTCCTTAAAGTATTAAATAAGTCAACAAAACCTGTTGGTGGTATATCTGAGTAAGTATCTTCAAAGGAGTATTTTTTACCATTCACAACAACAAAGTCTTCTGGTGTCAAAAGAGCAAAACAGGCTTTAGTCGTCATCGTGTTTAAGGTCAGTTTACAATATCGTCCTTGAGGACTTTGTAAGTTTGTTGTTATAGAATTATATGACTCAGGGTTTTTAGTCGTAATAGTATAAACCACTATGTCTTCTGCCATTTACATATATTTAAAAGTTTTTCTGAAAGTGGAGAAGAACTTCATCTAAACTTTCACATGGCGTTTCTTGAAGTTCTCTGTCTAAGAAGTTCAAATATTTTGTAAAGACATAGAACTTTCCTTTGTCTACACGAACAAACAAAACAGGGTCTTTCATATCGTTCAAAAGTGTGTAAAGTCCTTTACATGAAATAAAGTCTATATTGTTTTTCTTCAAACATCTTTCAAGAAGTTTTGACATTTTTACTTAGCAAGTAAATTTTAATGAAATGTTGTGGTCGTCAAATATTTTTATGACGTCTGGGAAACTATATTTTAAGTTCAACGTTTCACCTCCTTTCATAACGTATATCTTGTCAATGACATTATATGAAACACCACAGCAAGCAATGTCGGGTTCTATTTCTTTGATGTTTATATCGTCTGCCTCTGTCAAAAGTTTCAATAGTTCTTTCAAAATTTCATGAGGTGCGATGACATATGAGTTCACTTTTACAGGGTTGTGCTCAACCAAGTTTAACATTATACCAAAGCCTGACAAATCTTCTCCTGAGTTTTAAGTTTGTCTTTAAGTTGTTGGTAGTCGTTTCGAATATCTGCAACAGAACTTAAGTCTCTGCTAACTTCAGGTATGGTTGTTCTTTTACAGGAACTATTGTTATACCATCTTCGTCTTCGTATGGTTTCCCCACTTCAACATCTCTTGTCTTTGACATTGACAACAACACTTTGACTGTTTGTTTGAGTTGGTGAATTTAACTTCACATCTGCCATCGCCATTAAACCTTTTGAAACACTTACGCTTCTATTTTTCGGAAATGACATTTTACTTAGAATAAAAAGATGGACGTATTTGAGTATCTCTTCGAATTGAAGCAAAACAAAGTTTACACACACAAACAATACAAGTTCATTGACAGAATAGTTCTTTATACAAACAATGGAAAATGTTATAGAATAGCAGTCTTTGCTGAACCAAAATATTTTCATAAAGCAAAGAAAGTTGGTATAACTGAAATGGTGAAAGTTCTTGACGTTGACAAAAATATAACAACAAAACTGACCGATATTTCTAAAGGTAAGTTTTTAATACAATACTATGTCAAAACTGGCGTACTGTCAATATTTGACGGAGAGAAGTCAGTTCAAGAACAACTTACTGACCTGCTGCCAAAATCTGCTCGATGGAAGCTGTCGTTATACCAATCTGAGGAGCCCCAGCAGGTTTCATCGAACGAATCTTCAAAAGAGCATCTTCCGTGAAAAGTGCTATTGGTTTTGTAAACTTCTTTGCTTTCAATTCATTTGGACCGTCTCTGTCACCAGTATATTGTATTTGAACTGTACCAACAGTTGAAATACCACCCATAAAGTCTTCTGAGTCAGCAAATGGAATGCCAAGCCAAAAGTTTGAACGGTCTCCATTTGTATATTGAGTGTTTTGAGCTCCTGTATGGTCCATACTTTCACATATGGCATAATAGAACTTTGCATTTCAGGGTTAATGGTTGTTGTGAAGTTGTTGTTAAAGTTCATAGCATCTAATGTCAAGTTGTATGACCTCATATCCTCAACTGTAGAATATTCTTCTCTTGGATAGTATTTGCCATCTATGTTTATATGATATTTAATACCGGGGTTGTAGAAACAAGAATAGTCATTTATAGTTCGTCTGAACAGTACAAACATAGTATCTGCATGTTTCATTGCAGTTGTTAAGGCAATATCTGTTCTTGCACCTGGGTCAGCACTTTGGTTTCCAACTTCACCTGCAAAGTCTTTGACAGATATTTGGTGTATAGGGAACATAAGTGGAACTGCAATATATTTGGCAGCTAAAGCATTTGAAATATCTGGGTCCAACATATAGACTGCAAGTCTGCTTTCTATTCTCTTGCATTCAAACTTTTCGCATGTGAACTTAACTGGGTCCCAAGCAGTTCCAGCAGCATTGAAGTAGTAGTTTACTTCAGTGTTGAGGTTTGAGAAACCAAAGTCTAAGTCAACTTTGTCTTTGCAAAAGTCACAGAACTTGGCTCCACCAGTTCCAGCTACAGTAAGAGTGAATGGGTCTTGTGTTGGTGCAATGACTAAGTTATTTTTGCTTGGAGTAAGTTCGATAGAAATTTTTCCTGCCCAGTTTGGCAAGTATCTTAAAAACCTGAAGATGAGGAAAGATGACAAAGGAACTCTAAGTTTCAGTTTTACTTTGGTTACTGCTGCTGCAGTTTGTCCAGAAAGGTCAACATAAACTCCTGGAACGTTAGGGTCAAGTCTTCTTATTTTCTCAATAGTTGCATACTGGTCTGTTTGTTCTCTAGCTTGTGGTTGTACTGAGTTTCTCAAAGCGAACCATTCATAGTTTGCCCATGTTACTGTTTGAACTAAGTCAGAGTTAGAATATATCTTATATCCCATGAAAACTTCTGGAGCATATTGGTATCCGACATAGAAAATTCCATTGCAACCTTTCTTGTCAGACAACTTGGCAGAAGGTTTTATTTCAATGTCTTGTTCCACGTATAAGAAAGAGTTGTCAATAGAAATTATATGAAACCTGTCGCAAGCAATATCTACTGTTGTTGAAGAACCTTCTCCAAACTCACCTACGTTTCCATAAGAAACAGCAGTTGTATATTCGTAAGTTCCAGGAACTATTTCTGACCTTCTAATGGCATTGTCGCATTCGTTATACCATTCGGAAACATTTCCATTCATAGCATCCAAAACTGTTGGCGTTATATTCTGAGCGGCGTACATTTCATATGGGTAAAAATATAGAATAGTTGGATTTATATGTCATAATAGAACCCACGTGGACCAAGCTTTACTTTCTTCCTGACTGAGTTTTTAACTCTTCTTTTTCCTTCATTGCCACTACTTTCACTAGATGAAGTTACTTCTTCACTACTTTCACTTTGTTCTACTCTTTCTTCTTCTTTGGTGTCGCTTTTGGTAACTTGCCCTCTGCTTCAAGTTGTTGCATCTTTGCCTCATGTTCACCTAGTATGTTGTAAATTTCCCATGTCCTTTTTGCCTTTGGGCTCTGGTCGCCCATCTCAGGTAACCAATATCCTAGAAAGAGTTTGTCATAGTTTGTATTTGAGTCTTTGCGTATTGTTTGCATGACTCTGTCCTGAGTTTCCGGTTCAAGCTCTTCAAACAGTGCCTGTCCATATGGAATAAGCTCGTTTCCAAATATATGTTTTTGTAGCCATTCTGGTTTTCTTTCCATGTTACCAACTATATCTTTTGTGAATGGGAAAGCTTTTACCCAATCTTTCAGTCTTGCGTCGTTTATTTCTGTAGTTGGTTTTATTTTGTCAAGGAACATGTTTTTCAATACTAACATTTCATTTGGTACTGTCCATTTGAGTTTTCTTAAATATTCATCCCTTCTCAGTTCATTGTCTGCAAAGTAAGTTTTTATGACATTTTGCAAACTTTCGTTTGCAAGGTCATGTACAATAGGTTCTCTTCCTTCTCCCTCCCTAACTTTCTTTCTAAACTCTTCACCAAATATACCATCTCTATGGTTCTGTGTAGTTCTTTGAGATAAATGTTCTAGAACGTCAGGTGTTATATTTCCATCAGCCATGTTCATTTCATACTGGTCCAAAATATCTGCATGTTTCATATCTTTCAATGGCATTAAAGCCGCGCTGAAAATACCAGCTATATCTGGTTCACCATTGACTTCCATTGCGTCTACAACTTCTTGGAATTGTGGTTGTAAGTTTATGAACCACCTATCCGGGTTAGCTTTATGACCCCATCTCATTGTAGTTCCATCGTCTGCAGAAACAAAAGTAGGTTTGTTTCCATCTTGGTTAGGTTCTGAATGAACTTTAAACAATGTTTCATTTCTATATGTTTTCTTGAAATTTAACCTTTTATTTTCACCGAGTTCATCCGAAGATTGAACGTTAAATGCTCGTAAGTAAAAAGGGTTGTTGTATTTGTGTACATTTTCTTTCAGTACTTCCATTCTATGCTGAATATTTTCATCTGGTGTTGGAGTCTTTTGTATGTCGGCAAACATTTTTCGATATTCTTCTACTATGTCAGCCGAATTTTTTTTAGACTCTTGGAAATATTCCATATTCTCCGCATACTCTTGTTGAGGGTCAAGATTTTTCGGCTGTTCCAAATCTTCATCTAGTTCTGTGAAGTTAGTTTCCAAAGGAGTGACTTGTTCGTTTCCTTCAGGCTCTTCTAGCTGTTGTTGCTGAACTATTTCTTCCATGTCTGGTTGTATCTGAACTAGTTCTTCCTGTGGAGTTTCTTGTACCTCATCTGCTGGCATTTCATATATTCCGAGACCGTTTTTAACAACTTCCCTTTCTAAGTCATCCGGACTCATAAACCTTTCTTCTTTCGTTCCGTCTCTATTTTTTACGCGTTTCATGACGGGAGTTGAATTGTCATTTAGCTCTGACATCAAATATCTCGGAGTAAATTCAGTCATGTCATTTGGATGATATGCTATTAAATCATATCCCTTAGCGAGCTTGTATTTTCCAGGTTTGAAATTATATCCCATTTGGTGCTGAACCATAAAGCTAAATAGGTTCGGGTCAGTATTTCCTCCCTTGAACTTTCTAATAGCTTCTTTATATCTGTCACTAAAGTCAATACTATCTGGGTAACCATAGTCTTCCTTAAGCCTTTTTAAGAATTCTTGGTTTCCTTGTTCTCTACTTCTTTTATGTCCTTGCTCTGTTTGTGGTTGTTGTTGTTGTGCAGGGTTTTGAACTGTTGGTTGTGGTGCTGGTTGTGGAGGTGGTGCAGGTGCAGGGTTTTGAACTGTTGGTTGTTGTGTTGGTTGTTGTGTTGGTTGTTGTTGTTGTTGTGCTGGATTTTGAACTGTTGGTTGTTGTGTTGGTTTTGGTGCATGCCTGTGTCTGTGTCCATGTGACGATGTAAATGTTTTAGGTAGTCCTGGTGCAGGTGCTTCTCTTGGAGGGTTTGGTGGTATATAAATTCCAACAGCTGGTATATAAGTTCCATCAGCTGGCACATATGTTCCATCTGCAGCGTAATGTCCTACCTGACTTTTCGTTCTTAAGAAAGCATTTACTAGGTCTGTTTTGGTCTGTTGTAACTCTTTTTCTTGACTTTTCACAACAGTTGCTCTAACGGCGTCATAGGCACTTTGAACTGCCTGTCTCGTTGCTGCATCTGTTATTTTCGTCATATTTTGTGCTACTTCTCTTAACTCTTTGTCGAAACCTTCAGACTTCAGTTTCTTTCCAGATGAGAAGTCGTTCACTTGTTTCACCTTACTATGAAGAGCTTCGAAGGCGTTCTTAAAGTCAGCATTTGTTAAAGCTTCATTTGAACTGTCTTCATCCGCTTGTATTTTTGTCCTTATTGACCCTATAAGCTGGGCTGCTTTAGCGTTGGCTTGGGCATCTAACCAGTCATTGTTAGCTTTTATATATTCTGCGCTTTTCATTGCCTTTTGCATGGCTGCGTCGTTATTTTTACTTTCTTGTGCTAAGTTTTCATACTGTACGGTTTGGTTCTGCAACTGTAAAAGTTTTTCTGCCTTTACATTTGCTTCAACTTCTTTTTTATACTCATCGCTATCCATATATGTCTTCAGGGCTTTTTGTTTTATCTCTTCATCTTTCAGTACTTTATATTGAGTAGTATGGTTTTTCAAATTTAAAACATCTTGTTCCATTTTTGCTACTTCTGCTGCTTTTTCTGACACTTTTTTCGCATATTGCTCTGTACTTAGTTCTTTCAGTTGTTCTTCTTTCTTCTTTTTCTCTACGTTTAACTCATTTAGTTTCTTTGTGTGTCTGTCATATTCTAGTTTCTTTTCGTTTTCACTTATTTGCTTCTGTATGTCTATGTTTGACTTTTTGACATCTGTTATTTGATTTTTGAGTGAACTCAAATTCATTTGACTTTGAGGGTTATAGGCTGTTCCGTCTGCAGCTCCACCATAGCCTGCCATTTTCGCTAAAAGTGCCGCTCTTAAACCTCCACTCTGTGCACCAACAACTCGGTTTAAAAGCATAGGATTGCTTGACATTTGTTGCAACATAGTGGGGTCATTCAGCATTTGTTGTTGCAACTGTTGTTGTGGTGTCAGTCTTACTATTGGATGTTTCAATGCTCTCTTCCTCTTACGTATATTCTTACGTAGCTTACGTGGCATTTTAAGTGAAGTTAAAAAGCGGTTTTATACTAAACATCTTCGGGGCTAGAGGGCGCAACGCGCCTGGAAGCCCCAATACTTTTTTTTTTTTGAATATCATATCAGAAAATGTCGCAAATCTGACATTTATCCGACCAAATAGCAAAAATAATTGAATACTTTTCGCAAAAACTTTAAAAATCGATAAAAATATGAAATATAGATATTAAAGAGACTTTTTATATAATATTCATAAAGATTTTCCAAAAATATGATACCGCAAAATTAAAAAAGTGACGTCATGAGTGGAGTCAAAGGTCGAAATTGCTAGCTAAATGTTTTTTTAGCGAAATTGCGTATTGTACGTTTTTTCGCAAAACGAAACCCTTAATTCAAACTACAAAGTTTGTAATTTAAAATATTTTGTGAGATCAGATTGAATTAATTCAAGGTTCTTTTCAATTAATATTAATGACCATATTACACATTTTCGAACATTCTAAACCAAATATATAAAAATGGGAGACGAATGTTAAATTTGCTAGACATGGGGGAGTTGTCTGCAAAGTTTTAGCTCTTATCTCTAACAAAAAATTAATTTTTAAAAAAAAGACCGAATACGTTTCACAGCGAGAAAAAAATAAAAGGCAAGATAGAATTTTCTAGACATAAAGAAGTTGTTTACCGAGTTTTAGCTCTTATCTCTAACAAAAAATTAATTTTTAAAAAAAAGACCGAATACGTTTCACAGCGAGAAAAAAATAAAAGGCAAGATAGAATTTTCTAGACATAAAGAAGTTGTCTACCAAGTGTCAGCTGTTACTTCTTCTCAATACTGATATAAAATAAAAATCTTTATTATTTATTTAATCTTTATTGTTTAATTAAACTTCATTTATTTTATATTATAGTTTTATTCTTTTAGCTACTTGTAAAATAATCTAATTTTATATCATCATTTTACCGGATTATTCTTCAGTACATCGATTGTGTATCTAAAATAATATGATTATCCTTATTCTGTTTTTTCCAAAATTCTTTTAAATATCTTTTTTGGTTAGATTACTTTATACTTTTTAATTTTATTTTTTAATTTCAAAAAAAAATTTGGTGATTGTTCTATTCTGTTACAATGTGCATTATCATATTCTAATGAATTATTCATTACATACATTTAAAAAGACTTGTTAAAAATGAAATTAAAAAATTATGTTTATTATTACGCTGTGAATGTGTCAACAGCGGTCATGCCTGTATCTGTATCCCATATTTGCCACAACCTTTCTGTATCTGCATTTGTGTATTTCGGTTTCAGCTGATACATTTGATTTGGCGTGTAATTTGTTCCAGTTAATGGATTAATTGGGAGATCTTCATGCGGTGTGTTATTATTGTACTCCCAAATAAAGGCAGGAATAGCCTGAATGCTTTGGCAGCGCTCCAATGTCGGCCAGAATCTCTCAATCTTCCCATTTTGGTAGGGAGAATGAGAGTCTGTATGCCGCCATTGGACGCCCCAAAGATCAAGTAGATCTTGAAGAGTAGGGGTAATTTTAGCTAAAAGTGACACGCCTGTAAAAAGTGACACACCCATGAAGGGTGTGATTACCGATCAGTAATTTCGACAGTTTAGAATTTAAAATTTTTTATGGGACTGTTGCGAGTTTCATAAAGAATTTAAGGAATATAAGCAAAGATTTGAATCAAAATCTTAGACCTAAGCCGCTCGATTCGCTCGCGGCTTCCGCGAATTACAGATCAGCAAAGATTTGAATCAAAATCTTCGAACTAAGCTGATCGCTTCGCTCGCGGCTTTCTTTATTATTTTAAATTTGCATATTTCCATCAAAAGTTCATAAGGTAAAAAATTTCGTTTATTTTTACTAAGAAAAAAAGGTTTTTGATAATAAATTTATTTTATTTCGAAAAAGTAGCAATAATCGTAAAAGGGTATTGATAGGTTTGCTAAAGTAACTAATTTTAGCTGTCAAATACTTTTGTATTTTGAAGTAAATTAGTATAAATTTGTTTTTACTTTTATTTCGAAAAAGTAACAATAATCGTAAAAGGGTATTGATAGGCTTGCTAAAGTAACTAATTTTAGCTGTCAAATACTTTTGTATTTTGAAGTAAATTAGTATAAATTTGTTTTTACTTTTATTTCGAAAAAGTAACAATAATCGTAAAAGGGTATTGATAGGCTTGCTAAAGTAACTAATTTTAGCTGTCAAATACTTTTGTATTTTGAAGTAAATTAGTATAAATTTGATATTATTTTAACTCCCTTTGAAAACCTCAATTTTCCATACAGAGGGAACGGGAATAGCATCCAATATTCCCTGAGAATGGTTGCGCATTCTCAGTTCCCTCTATATTTCGAACGAAGCTCTCATCGGTCTTTTTTTTAATACTAAACGTTTTTTCCCCTGTCACTTTTAGCTAAAATTTGGGTTTGCCGATCTTGAAAGGCGCCCCTATTTTCTGAACCGTTGTCGGTCCAGAAACAATAAGGGGCGCCAAATTCAATGAAGGCGGAAGCCGCAACGTTCGCTGTCGTCGCTGCCAGCATATCTGGTATTTGTATACACGCTAGGACTTTGCGGCTAAAATCGTCGATTATGCCATAAATATACTGGCCACGAACACCCCTAAAATAATGAACATCTGCGTGCCAGATAAGATTGGGTGAAAGCGCCCAATATCTTACTGCTGTTTCTGGCCCGGCATGCTCTAATCGCGTCTTGGTGAAATGATTTTCTTTGAAGTATCTGCGTACTTCTCTATAAGATACATCAATTTGTTGTAATTTCAAACGTTTCCATTGTTTTGTTTGACCACAGGGAAAGGCCCAGTGGTCATGTATCACAGCAAGAGCTTTGATTTGGTCGTAGGGATTGACCCTACGACCTTTCTTGCCTTTAGGCAATGGGATATTCTGTAAGCTAAATTGATTTTGTAAAAAAGATTTTGAAACATCTAAATATTTTAAATCATTTGATTGAAGGGTTGGGGCGATGGGAACATGGGTGCAAGCTTCTTCCCATGTCATTTTACCTTCTTCAATCTGATTGGAAATACCAATTAGGTAAATTCGATCGACATACCCTTTGTAAGGATTCATTTTAATGAAGTACGTTAACAATCAAAATATTCTATAAGTGTCTAGTATGGAATTCAAAAGAATAAAGAAAATGGTAACGTAAATAAACGTATAATGAAATAATTTATAATTAAAATGAAAAAAAGAAAAAATAATAAGTAAAGTGACTGGAAATGAAAATGAAAATCAGTGTACAGTTTTATTTTTTTCTCGCTGTGAAACGTATTCGGTCTTTTTTTTAAAAATTAATTTTTTGTTAGAGATAAGAGCTAAAACTCGGTAAACAACTTCTTTATGTCTAGAAAATTCTATCTTGCCTTTTATTTTTTTCTCGCTGTGAAACGTATTCGGTCTTTTTTTTAAAAATTAATTTTTTGTTAGAGATAAGAGCTAAAACTCGGTAAACAACTTCTTTATGTCTAGAAAATTCTATCTTGCCTTTTATTTTTTTCTCGCTGTGAAACGTATTCGGTCTTTTTTTTAAAAATTAATTTTTTGTTAGAGATAAGAGCTAAAACTTTGCAGACAACTCCCCCATGTCTAGCAAATTTAACATTCGTCTCCCATTTTTATATATTTGGTTTAGAATGTTCGAAAATGTGTAATATGGTCATTAATATTAATTGAAAAGAACCTTGAATTAATTCAATCTGATCTCACAAAATATTTTAAATTACAAACTTTGTAGTTTGAATACGTAATTAGTAGTAAACTCAAATAGCTAGTTTATTTTTGAATTAAAATTATTTGAATGTATTCAATTTTGTGAATTTTCCTTCAAAAATCAAGTTTAAATATCTTATTTGGCATATAATTATAAATACAATGAAACATATTCGAAATTGAAAAGAATGACTTTTTCTGTTCTTTCAATCATTCAATTTGAATTTTGCAATATTGGATTTCTCATTAAATAGCTATTAAAAACAACAAGCAATTTAACTTACTTTCAAATTTATTTGTGTTATATTCACTCTTCTCAAAACTTATAATTTTCGGCTATAGCATGATTATATGCTATCTAATATAATTAACCTATAATAGTATCATTCTTTCAATTATTTGAAGAGAAAACCGAAAAAATCTATTTTCGGTCTATAACACTTCTCAAATATAAGTTGCCCTATTCAAATAATAAAATTAAATAATATTTAAAATAATAAATAAAAGTGATTGAGGTCAAAGAAAAACGGCTGTTTCAGTCATTAATTCTTAAAAATAAAAAGGGTAAAAACTAAATAAAATGGGTAAAATTCAATACTGTCTGTGCTATCATTCAATTTGAAGGTGTCTTTTGAAACCGCAAGACACATTGAATTCTTGAATAGTTTATTATGGTTCGACAGACACCAATGAAAAAAATAAAATGATATTTATTTTAAATATATAAGATCCTTATATAAAATATAAATATTTTATCGTTTTATTTTATTGTTTTCGAAATGTTTTTTATTGAAAAATCAATAAAACTAACTTCAAAATAAAATTTTGATTTAAAGACACTATGATGACACCAGGCAAATCTTCCAAGACACCTATCGTCCGGAATCTGACAACCCTAGAATTTTCTCTCACAAATTATTTCAGAATAATTCGTTTTATAACAACAAAAATTAATTAGTTAAGCATTTGATATTACCCCTAATGTCTATATTACTAAATAAACTCGGCATTACTTATTTGAATCCATTTGAAATATCAATTATTTAGCTTTCAATTTATTTAATTTTATCAAATTGATATAAAATTATCAAAAGCAGTGATTTAAAACAAGCAATGTCTTTGTAAAAAGATTATGTTAGAAATGATTTGAGAGCGGAGTTTGCAATTTTGATTACCGCGTGAGCAATTTTAAGATGTTTTATCTATTTGTAGCGTGGTGGCTTAAAAATTCGGGAAATGATGAATACGGTGGCTTAGATGGTGAAGATATCAACTGGTCTGGGCATGCATATTACGATAAATACACAGGGAAAGGAATCACAATTGCCGTAATGTCTGATGGAGCGCTTTTCGATCATGTTGCATACAAAGATAGAGCAATCAAAGATCAGTTTATTAATATTTATACAAATGAAATCATGTTGACAACGAATTCATCACATAACATCGCAACTGCATCATTAGCTCTAGCAGCAGGGAAAAGAGGTACAGAATTTGAAGGTGTTGCTCCAGGAGCAAATGTTGCATCTTATTTTTTCACAAACTATTCCATGCAAGCAGAACACCTTCAAACTGTGATGTGCCATCAGAGTTTGAAGTGGAATATATCAATCCTTCAATATCTTTACATTGAGAAACCGAATGGATACGTTCAATACGTTCAACCAGAAGTAATTCCTAAGGAAATTGCAGATGATTGTTTATATCATCCACAAGAAGGAAATTGGCCACATCCAATAGTGGTTCCAGCAGGAACTTTCTGCGCATCTGATCCTATTATGAGTCCACCTTCAGGTTGGCCACTAGTTTTTACAATTAGCGGTGTTACTAACAGAGGTCTTTCTTTATATCGTTCTGCTGAAGGTGCAAGTGTCTTTATGGTTGCTCCTGCTGCTGGAAATGCTCCTATTTTTACAGCTTCGCCAAAATCTACTAATTCAACAAATAAGAACTTCACATCGACTAACGCAAGTGCAGCGATATTCGCAGGTGGACTTGCTGTTTTATTAGAAGCAAATCCAAACTAACATTATCTGATCTGTTTTATATTACTGCGTTTTCTGCAGATAAAGTAAATCCAAACACGATAATTTGGGACAAAAATGGAATACAACTTAATTATAATAGAAGATCGGGCTTTGGAAGGTTGAATCTGGGTAGAGCTGTTGCTGTTGATATCGCATTAAATTGGACATCAACTGGGAAATTTTATGAATACAAAGTTGAAAAAACTTTAAATTTAATTATTGAAGACCGTGAGCACAACGTTACTTTTGATTTCACAGAAAGAAGTGCGAAATCTGTTTTATGCGTCAGTTTATTCTTCAAATCGAAGAAATTATCATTTGGGTCGTTAAATCCACACATTATTAGTCCAAATGGAACAAGGTGTGAAATGAAAATATTAACAGAGGCAGACTTAACTTCAACAATAAACTCAGTTGAATTAATGGGATATAAATTCTTAGGTGAAAATCCAATAGGAAAATGGACAGTTTCATTTAGAGTCGCAGACGATGCATACCATGGAACAATAGAGAGCTTAGGTCTTAAGTTCTTCTATAACAAAATAGCTCCAGATATCTCTTTGATAAATCAAAGAATTGGTTGCCATTCACCATTCGAAGCAAATGTCTCCAAAATTACATTCAAAGAAGATAAAATTTATCTATTTGCAGCAACAGCTGCTAGGGTCAGAGTAAATGTAAGTGAAGATGTAAAAGACGCATACTACACAGTTTGGCTTGCTTCACCGGATGGAAATGATAGGATTCTTATTAATGCTGGTTTTAATGAGAAATTCGATTTGTTAAAAATAGAATATACTCCTAGTGTTTTCAGGGATAAACTTGATATGATACTTATTATTGATTCCATGGATCCTAAGTGCATCTTTTCATCAAATGTTTCAGTTGACTATAGTAATACTTTGGATGTTGGCTTATCCAATCCACCAAATGGAACAGTATACAAAACTGCAGATACTGACATATATATTGAATATGCTCTGCATCTTAATAGAATCATTTATGATGGATTTTCTACAACAATCGCTGCAACTATTATATCTCCTGATAGCAAGGCCATTCTAAATAGAGAATGGATCAGAAACACAGGAAATAGGTGGCTTATTAACATGATTCCTTCAACAAAGAAGTTTTATTTACAAATATCACCTACTTCAACTGAAAGACAAGAATATATCCATCCTATGACGATTAATTTATTTGTTGTTGAACAAGATGGCAAATATAGGCCCGATGCATTAACTCCTGTTCAAATTACTGAGATTGTGTTAGGTATTGTATTATTTGTTCTGTTATTGTGTTTCGGGATCTACAGATCTATTGTTTTGTTTTGCACCAAGAAATCATCAATTCATTTTGAATAAAGAAATCATGAGAATCTTTATATATTTTTCCATTAATAGTATATTAGTTAATAGATGCATCAATACAGAAAATCTTACCTTAGTGATAAATCAATGATTCAAAGAATGAATGATTAGATTTCATTCAATTAAGTTCAAAAAAGATGGAAAACCAGTGATAAAGTGTTATACATCAGCTTTATCTGCATTATGTTCGTTTAACTCAGTTATAACGTCGACGGTAATCTCAATTTCTCACTTTAAAGGATTATCCATTTTATTCACTGCAAAATGCCTTATTTGATCTCAAAAAGCGAGTTTAATGATGTTTTATTTTTCGAGCAAAAAATTCGAAGAGAATCAAATCAAAAAAAGTGACTACAGGATTTTGAGGATATCGGAATTGTGAACTTTACATTAAAAGTTCTCCAGAATTTGTATTCATGCTTGGAGTAGATCTTGGAGGTTCATTTACAAAAATGTGCTTTATTGGAAAAGATGGAAATAAGCAACTATTCTGCATCCCAACATTAATTGAAGAAATCAAAAATTTCTTTCAAACAGATGAAAACGGCGAATTAAAAATCGAACAAATTCATGAGAAAATCGAGAAAATATGCATAACTGGTGGTGGATCCGTTAAATTCCGTGAATTTTTCGAGCAAATTAAACCAAAACCTGTCAAACTCGATGAACTAGGAACACAAGCTTTTGGAGCTGCTCATTTACTTAAAGACCGAAGCAATGTTAAAATTTTGGGCCCTCAAATAGAAGATTTAATTCCTTGTATCATTATTTCAATGGGAACAGGCGTTTCATACTCTGCCCTATCGATTGATAATAAGGTGAAACATGTAGGTGGCTCACCGCTAGGAGGTGGAACCTTACTTGGCTTAGCAAATTTACTGATTCAAGTAAATAACTTCGATGAAATACTTAGATTAGCTAATATTGGCAAAACATCTACATTGGACTTACTTATCTCAGACATTTATGGTCAAAATTACGGAAATACTTTATTATCTGATGTTTGCGCTTCTTCTTTTGCCAAAGCATCAATAGAACATAAAACTGCTCCTAAAGAAGATATAGCTGCATCACTCCTTTCTGCAATTTGTTATTCTATTGCAGGTGGAGCTGCAACTGTTGCTAGAGCAGAGAAAGTAACATCTCTTGTTTTTGTCGGTGGTTTCCTCTCAATGGAGGGAAGTATCCCTGATTCATTATATAAGTCAGCTTCTTTGTTTAACAAAGAAATCTCATTAATTTTCCCAGAGAATCATAGATATGCAGGAGCAATTGGTGCAGCCTTGCGAGCATCAGAACTCCAATGATTCTTATCATTTGTCCCTAAAATAAATTATGTTTATGTATAAAATATTTCCAATTTTTTTTCTGTATGAATTCTATAATTCAATGACTACTTTGCAGCTTTTAATTGCATAATGCAATAATATTAGTTAATTTCTTTCTGTTTATTTTTTTTATCGTCGGAAATATCAGATAAAAATCATGTTTCATTCAATGAGAGTATTCAAAGTTTATGAAAAACTTTTCATTGACATTACTTAAGCAATAAATAAATGCAATTGATCAAATAATTTTTAAAATTTCTATTTTGAAAGCAATAAATCCGAAACAGAATTGCACCACTGTATCACTTATTATAATATGATACTCACATTACATATATATCATAATATGCTTTATCTCAAAGATTATTTTGATATAATTGTTTTCTATCTTAAATATTGGAGTTTAAATACAACAATAAAAAATACTAAAGATAAATATAGAATAAAATTCTAATCCCGAGTTGCAATTCCGCTAAAAAGCACATCTGCAGTTTCTGATTCTTCAACATACTCAGTTGATGACAGCGTCCACATTATTACTAAGTATGGTATGCTCATGCAGTACATAATGTATAAATTAATGAAAACTCTGATGTAATTAAATTTATTTAAGTCATAAAATTCTAATTTTGTAACAGCAAGACTATATCTTGTGCGCTGTGCTATTTCAGCACCAATATTACCAAGAATCTGCATGAATAACGCAATGTAAATTCTTAAATGATATTTTTGGGGTATGAAATCTTTGATTTTTGATATGACAAAGCATATATTCAAAAGACTAAGTAATAACAGATTCAATGTTCCATAGATTATTGAATAGACTATATATGTTTTGTTGTAAACAATCTCATTAATGAATGTAATTGTGTATGGATCAACTTTGGAGTATAAGGTAAAAAAGAATTTGCATACAATCCTAAATATCATTAAAACATAAAGAAAATAGTTAAAGTACTTCAAATATTTTCCAATTTTGATATTAAAGCAAATTAATACAATTGCAATTTGTTCCATGAACATAACATCTGCTAGCATTGTAAAATCATCCCACACTCTGCTTAATCTAAAACAAAAATTCTTATCCTTTTCACGATAAAAATAACATAAAACATAATAATATATCCAAGAACTGAAGTTGTGAACAGCATATGTGAGCACATAACATATATCAGGCATAAAGCGATTTCTTAGTTGAAATTTAAGTCTTCTGATCAACGAAAAAGCATAATAAAAAAATGGAAGTTGTAAAATTAATTGGACAACAATGAAAATATAAGAACACGGATGATTGCAAACGCTATATGCATGTAATTGACAGTAGGACTGTGGCATATATAGAATGAATTTACTAACCTTGTTTTCCATAATTTTTTTATGTCAAATTTGACATAATCGTTGCAACGGAAATTTTATCGCTATCATATCATTCCGCAAAATAAATTTAAAACTCTTTACATCTATGTTTAATAAATATCAAATATTTGCAAACTAATAATGAAATTAATAACAATGATTCTTTAATTTCATGTTGTATCAATTCCATAATAGTCCGGCATACTATGCATTGCATTGAAAGATCAATTATCCATGATTTTTCTTCAGAATTATTGAACAGTGGATATAATCGCGATGAAATATAGAATGAAAAAAATCAAGGTGTTAAATCTAATTCAGAATATAATTATGATTACATATTTTTGGTTCGAATTGGATAATGTGTTTCTCTTATTTCTGAAGTGACATTTTCTCGAATTATATCTCCTGGAGTAAGAAAATATTATTCTCAGGTTGCACCCGCTTTATACAAGCTTTAAAAAATATTGGAAATGGTATTCTTCTAAAAAATGAAAGTTTAAATACAATCAAGCAACATACTAAACGATAAATATAGAATAAAATTCTAATCTAAAGCTGCAATTTCCTTAAAAAGAACATCGGTGGCCTCTTGATCCTCAACATATTCAGTTGATGATAGGGTCCAAATTATAATCAAATATGGAAGATTCATACAGTACATTACGTATAAATGAATGAAAACTCTGATGTAGTTAAATTTCACTATGTCTATAAATTCATATTTCATAACCAAAACACTATATCTCACGCGTTGCGCTATTTCTAAACCGACACTACCAAGAATTTCCATGAATAATGCGATGTTAATTCTTAAATGATATTTTTTCGGAATGTAATCTTTGATACTTGATAATACAAAGCATATATTCATAAGAATCAGCATTATAATATATATTGTGTTATAGATTGTTGAATAGACTATATATGTTTTGTTGTAAACAACTTCATTAATGAATGGAATTGTATATGGATCAACTTTGGAGTATAAGGTAAAAAAGAATTGCATACAATCCTAAATATTAAAACATAAAGAAAATAGTTAAAGTACTTCAAATATTTTCCAATTTTGATATTAAAACAAATTAATACAATTGCAATTTGTTCCATGAACATAACATCTGCTAGCATTGTAAAATCATCCCACACTCTGCTTAATCTAAAACAAAAATTCTTATCCTTTTCACGATAAAAATAACATAAAACATAATAATATATCCAAGAACTGAAGTTGTGAACAGCATATGTGAGCACATAGCATATATCAGGCATAAAGCGATTTCTTAGTTGAAATTTAAGTCTTCTGATCAACGAAAAAGCAAAATAAAAATATGGAATTTGAATAAGTAATTGGAACGCAGTAAAAATATAAGAACATGGATGATTACAAACCCGGAATGCTTGAAATTGACAATAAACTCGTGGCATTTCCCGTATGAAATAACTTACCATCTTTTTTTTGGAAATTTGACAAAATTGTTGCAACAGAAATTTTATTGAAATTTTATTTCCATCATAGCATGAAATGCATTTAAAACTTTTAAATTTCTTTGCAGAGCTAATATCATGGATAATATTTTCTAAATTGTTAATTAATTCGAAAAGATTGAATTGATCGGAACAATTGGTGGAAATCCTTACGTTGATGATCTTTCAGATCAATTTGGAGCTGATAAAGATGAGTTAGGATCATTGCCTGTGCTTATTGTGGAAAAACTTCGTTCATATAATAACGATAGGAATTATTTGGTCGACAAATATATTCTTAAGATTTATAAAATGGTTGAGTTTTGTATTCTATTTGCATTAAAATTCAATTCACTCTCAAAAAAGTATTCAAAACTAAAAAAAGTTTTCTAATAGAGGCATATGTCCATTGTCCAAGCGGCTCACTTTCCTACAACAATAGTATTGATGCTAAATACTCGTCTCTCATCATTGATTCCTCATGTGAGCGTTTACTTTTATATTCTTTATCATATTCAAGTATTACACAAATAAAATTACCAGACACACTTATACAAATCGATGATGACGCTTTTTATAATATTCCTGTTCGTGAAATTGATATTCCTGCCTCAACAATTCAAATATCAACAGGGAATCCTTTCAATTATGCACACAAATTAGAGAAAATTGTAGTAAATCCTTTAAATCCTAGTTATGCATCAGTTGATTATATCCTTTACAATAAAAATATTGATACTCTTATTCATGTACCGCGGAAAAATGGTTTGAAGGTTTATGTAGCCCCTAGATCTCTCAAAAAAGTCCAGTTTCATGCATTTTTTTATCATGAAACAATTGAATCTATTGTTTTCCAAAGCACTATTAATATAATTGAGGAAAGGTCTTTTCAAAATGCTACAACACTTGAATCAATATTAATTCCTAATGGACACTCAATCAAACGCTTTGGTAAAACAGTATTTCTTAACACTAATTTCAACATTGATAATATTACAGCATATACTGATTTATACAAATCATGTAGAGTTATTTCATATTCTTCTTTTAGTATAACGCGTCTTCTTTTTTGTTCGGTTTTCATATCCATGTAAAAACTTTATTTTTAAATGATATTATTCTTTTTTGCTGATATTGATTTGATTGGAATCTTCTGCAATGTTTTTGGGAAAAAATGTAATATAATTTCGGTAAAAATGTACATGATGTAGTAAAATAGAGAACAGAAAAGCTTTATAAGTTTATAAAATGCTGTGAATAGCCTTACATTCGCATTTATAATAGATATGCAAAGTTTTGTCTTTCAAAAAAACAATTTTTTCAGCAATTTCACAAATATCAGTTTCGTTGCATGAGAAAAGCATGAATTCATTTAAGAATATGAAAATCTAGCGAGATGCTTTTGTTACACTACATTTATATTTTCCACCAAATCATTAAAAACTTTGCTATTTAATAATTTAGGTAAAAAAGTAGTCAGTATAGATTTGATTAGATACATTCTATTGTTCTGTTAAGATACTATATGTAAATATTGAAGACTGTGCTTCATCTTCTTCAAATTGATTTGATGATAAAATCCAAATAATAATCAATGTTGGGATATCACATGAATAGTTAACTATAAGCTGTATTATCAATTTGATATAATTTAATTTGCTCATACTCTTAAATTGAATCCTGAATACAATTTTGCTGTCGTATTTAGCATTTAATTCCGAGAGTACAAATATTCCACTAATAAAAGCAAAAATTGAAACGTATATCGGTGTATGGGATTTCTTTGGAAGGTAATCTTTGACATTTGATAATACAAAGCATATATTGAGTAGAATTGATGCATAAGTGAATAAAAATCCGTATTGTAGTTCATAAATAAGACCATGGTCCTTAAAGAAAGGACTATTTCGCCATTTTTTATTTGTTTTTTCATTGATTGCAAAGAAAAATTCACCAAATAAACGCGCTAGATATATCAAAAAGAATATCAAATTGAAGTACTTCAAGAATTTTGCAAATTTAATATCAAATGCAAGTAAAACCGAAGCAATTTGATTACAGAACATTATAAACGCAAGTCTTGATAAATCTTCCCAAATACCCCGCAAATAATAAAAATAATCATGAACTTCATGATGAATATAGTAATAAAAAAC